GGGGAAGCCAGCAGGATCCCAGAGGGTTCTGCAGGGCCACACACTGAGGAAAGGGCTGAACAGAGGCCCAAACGAGACCTTGGCTTTCTGGTGCTCCATGTGTGAGGGAAGCTTCTTTGGGGAGGCACAGCTGATGGCAACTGCGTGGCCAGGAAACGGACAGGCATCCTGGGACAGATCAGGCTGGAGCTGCATCAGCTCAGGGTCCCCCTGGCAGCAGTGATGACTCCTCCAAAGCATCATTGGTGCAGCACTAGGCAGGATGATGGGGCTGCACAGCTCCCAGAAGACCAGCTAACACCATTGACTGTGCCATCTTCCCTCCTCCACCAGGCCACTGGCTCCATTTCACTGGGGAAACGGCTGCTTGGCTTTTTCTTTCCTATTCATCTGGTTCCTTCTGGGCTCAGAGTATTTTGGGCACCTCTCTGTTCCCAGCTACCCTGGGTGACATAGGCAGTTCCTCAGGATTGGATTTCCTCTGGAAGGTGTACAGGCTGAGAACCGAAAAGCGGAAATGCCAAGCCCTTTATTTAAGACCTGTGTACAGAAGGAGAGACTCATGACTGCACCAAACACATGCACTTCACCAACTGCCTCTGAAAAAGAGCTGTGACTTGTGGGGCCAGCACACAGGGTTGGGTGGAGCATTCGAACAAGACTGATGTAGATAGACTGGTGCAGTGAAGGAAGCACAGGTTTAAGGTTTATCTAGGAGACAGAGATGATCCACTCAGGCAGCCAGAGAGACCACAGGCACAATATGCCACCCCTGCCAGAGGACAGATAGGGGGTTGTGGGTATGAAACATGAGGGGCAAAAAGAACAGGTCAGAAGTGTTGATCTTGGTGCAGGGAGCCTGCCCTGAAAGCGGCACTTTCAGGCAGCACGGTTTGGGGACAAGTTAGTCTGGTCTGAGATGCTGCTCCAAATTTTACGGTTCTCACCTCCTGGGCTTAGCCAGGTTCCCTGTCCAAGAACCAGGGTGAGACGTGCTGAAGATGGCCCTGGGGATGTGAGCAGGAACAGCTGGAGCAGATGTGGAACTGCTTGGAGGTCAGAGTTGGAAACACCATTTCTGAGCACATCTTCCTCAAACCGAAATGCGGCATCCCACACCCTTCCAACCTTACTCCACCCTGCTCCCAGCTGTGAACTGCTTATGTCCAATTTTGTGTGCTAAAAATACTTTTCTGGGTGGTCAGCAAGTGCACAGCCAGATGGAAGAGGGTTGCAGTCTGCGAGTGAAGGGGAGTGGGGCTGTATCGGGGGTAGGTGTGGGCTGCAGTAGGGGCAGGGCAGGCTCAGTGGGGGTCCATGGGCTGCCTGTCACTGCAGGGGGACATGCATCAAGGCAGCAGTGCCAGGGCAGAGAGTCTTGCTTGGCTTGGGTCCATGCTTCCAGGGATTGGGGCATGGCAGGGAGGCAGAAAGGTAGGGAGATATGCACTGTGGAGAGCAGGCAGCAGGTCCTGATCTCTCCCCTGGAAAGAGGTTGCTGTAGCTGTCAGAGCAGAGGGGAAGGAGGGATGGTTATCCAGCCCCCAGGGCCTGCCGCAGCTCTGCCCAGCACCCAAGAGTGCTCTCCTGGGACCTCTGCACACTGCCGGGCCATCCCCTGTCACAGCTCTGCTCTCAGCCCACCTGTCCCGGGGAAGGCCAGGCCATGGGCAGAACTTGGTAGACGCCTTGGGAGCAGAGATAGCAGCCCTGGGTGGCCAGTGCCACAAGAGGGAGTCCCTACCCCGACTGCTCCTGCCAGCTGGGTGACAGCAAAGATGCCCCAAGGCCACCCCTCTTCCAGGCCAGTACAGCTCCGTGCAGACCTCCTAAATGTTTTGCTGGGCCCAAAGCAGACTGTGATAACCCATCATGACCAGGATGTCACCCTGCAGGGATCCTTCTGCACGCTGGTATGCTTTGGGCTTGCCTTATCTTCCTTCTGCCCATAGGGCTGGGGTTCTCCCCTCAGCTCTGGGGGAGATGTGCTGTAGGGGACTGGGATGTCTTGGTTTTATCATCACCTTGGGGAAGGGTTGGAGAGTTCCTAAGTTCAGGATGTCACAGTGCCCTGGCCTTGTAGCCCTGAAGGCACCGCAAGATCCCTGTGTGGAAGAAGGTTCAGAGCTGGTGGGGTTGGGAAGGTTGCTGGAGGGGTGAGGAAGACACGACAGCAAGGCTTGGGGCTGGGCTTTAGCCAGGATCCTAAGGGCATTTTCCAGCTCTCCCTGCCAGAAGAGCCTCTGGGCTCTGGCAGCACAGGCTGCAGCCCTGACTGAGGCAGATGCTGCATCCTGGAGAGGAAGAAGCAACATGTGGGGACCCAGCACCCCAGATCACACAGGGTCATGTGCTGGTGCTGTGCAGGGACCAGACCCCTGCTTGGCCATCCCAGGGCTGGATCTGACTAGATTAACCTCCCCAGGCCTGATCCTGACCCACCACCTGTGGGATGATATCCCATCCTGGCCTCAGCCCACCCACACCACCATGGCTGCGTCTGATGATCTGTAGGTGCGCCCCACACTGGAATCCCTCAAGGACAGATAGGGGTTGGAATGGGAATAAGCCCCAAATATATTTCTATTATATGTGAGGTCTGACACAGGACTAGGCTTTACTGTAGGGGGATGTGGTGGATAGGTTAGCAGTGCTCTCCTCAAAGCCTGATCCTCAAAAACCGCAGTTACTTCTCCTTTCCTTGTGGTTTTGTGGATGGTTGTGAGCCCTCAGTGTTCTTCCCTGTCAGAAGTAAGACTGATTGTAAATTGCAGGCAGTTTGGGTTTTTCTTTCTTCAGTCAGAATGTCTGAGTCCTGTTAGTTCATTGACCATTGAACCAGACCTTCAGGAAACAGCCCATCAATCATATTTACAGTGACCAAATCAACTGTCTTGGGAACTCAGCCCCATTGAGAAGAAGGTGGCTGGCTTTATTATGTGCAAAAATGTACACATCTGCTGCATGCTATAGCAGGAAATCTGTATTAGAAAGTGTCTAAGATGTGTTGAGATGTCTCTGTGAGACTTAGTTCTGCTGCAAGGGCAGAATGTGTGGAGTGCACACGTGATGTGCTCTTGGAAGCACAGTGAGTGGTCTCACGGCGCTGGAGCTCATCACCTCCCGTTGACTATGCCGTGCTGAGTTTGGATTCACAAGTTGCTTTGTGACTTGACAGTCCCTTGGAAACCATCTTTCATTTGAGCTCTGCTTTGTAGTACTCAGTGAGGTAAGGCATCATCGATTGAACTAGCAGCTCTGATGTCAGACTGTGTAAGAGGTAGGCATATGATTGAGTGCGCTGGCTTTCTGTATTTCTTCAGTATTTTCCTAGTCCATCCTATATACCAAGACAACAAATCTCAAAAATTTCCAAGAAGGAAGAGGCCAAACACAGGTTGCTAGGCCCCAGTGTGTTTCAGGATAGGGAAAAAGGAAAGAAGTACGTGAGATGCAATAGGAAGCTTCTTGCACCACATCTGCTTGGCAGTTTTCTTTCACTGTTTTTGCTTCTTTCATACGGCAAATAGTGGCAATGGCCTACATCTAATGCTGGTATTTTGTGAGGACATTACCCAGTAAGTGCTGGCTTTGGCCGTTCTCCTAGGTGCTTTCACCTTTGCTGGCTGCACAGGGTTAAAAAAAGCCTGGTTCGTAAAGCTCAGGGAACTGCCAAGGAAACAGGGAGGACATGACCTAGTGCTGCAGCTCCTTTTGCTGCAAGCTTGCTGGAAGACTTTACCCCATTAATCTCACAACAGCTGTATGTGAGACAGCTAGACCTGATGTACTGATGTTCCTGAATGGATCTCAGGAGAGACCTAGCTTCCAGAAACCCCTCAGTGTGGTTGCTCTACCGAGGTAATGCAGATAGATACAACAAGCACTGTCCTGCGCTGCTGAGGATGGTGGTTCCTGGGAAGGGATTTGCCATGGAGCTCTGGACCAACCAGTCCAGCCAGGTGGTGACAAGCACCTCAGGTGATAACACCCATTCCCAGCTCACTGATTGTGTTGGATCGTAGAGCAATTGTGCTCCTCTGTCCAGAGAAACAGAGAAAGAGAGGCCATATAAACCACAGAGTTGAAGAAGAGCTTCCCAGGAGAGCTGCAGCGTCACGGGGAGCTTGAGGCCATGCGACAGTGTGTGAGCTGGAAAGGGGCTCAGAGAAGAGCTTGGTGGTGGCGTCTTCAGGGGCTGGAGACTGGGGGAGTGTGAGTGAGCCAGCCTTGGGGTTATATCCCAAACTGAGGAGCACCCAGGGAATTCCTTCCCATACCCAAAGACTCTGTCTGACCTAGCCAGGGACAGAAATAAGTATTCTCCATCCAGCTCCAGGAAGACACTCTTACCTCCAGTACTGTGTGCACTGTCTATGTTGAGGCACTTTGCATCCTAGAAGGCACTGAGAAAGTGTGGCTCAGAGCAGGGTATCAGGAAGGGTTTGGAGGAGAAGGGAAATAAGCCACATCAGGCTAGTTCAGGAACTTATCAGATCTGAAAGGTATGTTGGTGGGTTTCAACAGCAAGATTGTTGCAGCTGGGTCAGTTCAAACTAGTAAGTAGAGAGATTTCAAGGCACAAGTGAAGCACGATGACACCACCCTGGGGTGGGCTTGGGCAGGTGAACCAGGGGTGTTTTCCTCAACATCCACCAGTGGATCTGGAGGGAGGGAGAGATGAGTGAAGCAGACATGAGAAGGTTTTGGGAGTATTTGTGGGAGCAGGGCTACGGAGGCCTGAGGTAGCTAGCAAAAAGACTGGACTGAGGCACTCAGGAGACCCCATCAAGCCTGAACCTTCTGTCTGTGGGCAGATGGGTGATGAGCAGCCCTGCGGCTGGTGGGACGCTGTTTTTCCAAAGAGGAAGCTTCTTCCACCGCATTATATTTCCCTGCGTGGCTGTTTCATTTCTGTGTCTGCACCTCTCCTGTGCTGGGTTACACAGACCTTTCCTGAGCAGCTCAGACTGAGTCCTGCTCAGGGACTTTGTGTAAGCATGGCGCAGAGAGGGCTGGCTGTGGCCTTCCTCCTGATCCTTACCCATCTGCTCCTTGCAAGGGAACAGCAGGACCCTGCTCCCAGGAACCAGGGGGAAGCCGAGGAAGCAGGTAAGAGCGAGTCGTGCCTCTCACAGAAAAGTTTTTGCTGCTCCTTACCTGCATATTTACTGTATGGCTTTATCCCATTCAGCCTACAGCAGCTATGTTGGGGAGGCTGAAGCTGGTGTCTGCATCAGTCCTGAGACACTCAGGTGTCTGTCAGGCTGTGGTGGGGTGAAGTTCTGTTTGGACGGAGGGCAGCTGCCTTGGTGTTCTAGTAAAGCTTCCATGAGTGCAGAAGCAGCAGTGTCCCTCCAGGGAGTGGGTAGTGTCCCTGGCTGGTTCTTATTGCATGGTGGAGAGACAAAGTCAGGGCAATCACAGTAGTGGTGGCCTTCCTGGGGCAACCTGGGCCACACCACTATTGGAGGGATAAGCAGCAGTGGTGTTCAGCAAAGACATAGGGAGCTGTGAGATGAATCCCTGTGTTAGCTGGGATACCTGCTCTCTCCTGTAGTCCCTGGGGTCAGAGAAGCTCTAGTTTGGTGGGATTGTCCTTAAATAGCATTGATCTGTTCTTTCTCCATGGCAGGAGGGCTAGGGATACCTCCTGAGTCTCTGCTGGGTTTTTCCTACAGAGAAAGTGGTCTTTCTATGGAGACTATGTGCTGTGCCCTGGGGTTGCTGGTACCTGTTGAGGTCCTCATGGAGCACAGCAGGAGCGGCTACTCTTTGCACCAGGGGCTAGGGAGACGGAGGTGTGAGTCATTCTCTCTGCAGGGAAATGGGAGCAGAAGTGGCTTGCCAAGTCGTCGGATGAGTTACGAGTCATGTTACCCATCACTGGTGGCTGGAGGGATGTGCCCTTCTAGCAATGGGCAGCCATCAGGTATCCAGGGCAGGATATCCCCTCAACACAGCAGCAGCTCCTGCCCCTTTCTCCCGTTCCCCACAGCACATCCCTGACAAGCCCTGTGGACAGTCACGGCTCTCCCCTCCTTGGCCTGAGGAGTGCCAGCTGGAGGAGGTTGTGATGGGCTCGGTAGAGGCATTGGCTCCAAGTGGCTGGGGGAGATTTCCTGGATCTATGTTTGCAGAAGAGGTGTGAGGCACAAAATTGAGGTTCTGGCCGTTATCCACTACTGTACCACTGGCGTCTGCAGCACTGAAGGAGGTCATTGGAATCTGAATTATGGGTAGCCCAGCAGAGCTGAAGGCAGGGGCAGAGCTTGCCTCCACCTGCACCAAGAGGGAAGCCCTGGTGCCAAGCCGAGCCACTGCAAGGGCTTTAGCTGCAGTCAGTGCTCTTCAAGTGTCATCAAGGAATCACATGTGCCATAGATGTGTACTTTTTTCACTTTCTTTTTGTGTCCTATGTCGTTGCTGTTCAGGGATAGTCATCAATGTCTGAACTACCCACATGCATTTTCTAGACCAGACCTAGACAACAAAGGCTCACGTTATTTGCTGACAGTGCCTATGGCCCAGTTTTGCTCACCTTCCTCTTCCCACTGAGGTCTGCACGAGACAGTCTCATGCTCCCGTTGCTCCTGCTTGCTACATCCCCTCTTGTGCCTTGGCCTTGCCAGCTGTTTCTTCACTGGCTCTTGTTGGTTCCTATTCCCTTGGGAGTGTAACCTGCTTGTCATCGTGTCCTCTTGCATTGCAGATCATTGTCAGCCTCCTGACTAAGCTAGGCTGTGCTCTTACTGCATCCCCCATCGTCCTTCTGTGTAAGAGTGTTTCTTGCTAGCCTTTCAGATTGTAGAGTATCTTGTTTTCTGACAAGTACCAATAGGAAAAAATCTGTTCCAGCCCACAGGTTGAAATCTGCTCTTTGAAGCATGGTTCATTTTCCTGCAGTAGAGGGATTTCCTTCCCACTCTCCAGTGTCCCTGGTCAAATTCTTGATGCTGGGCAGGTAGCCCAGACTATGCTGGGGTGGGAAGGATCCTGGATATCATCACCCTGGGACAGGAATGTGAGGGCAAGTGTGCTGCTTCAGGGTGGTTTAATGATAGGAGGGGGGAAGGTGTATGCTGGGGATGCCTAACTAGGCTTGGACTCAGAGTCAAGGGTTTCAGGTCTGTCTGAAAGGCTTTTAGCTGTCTTGGTGAAGTATGTCACCTGAGGGTGCTGGGAGGGATCCAGCTGCAGAGGAAGAAGTTTGCTATGTAGACAACACATGTGGTCTCAAAGGATACTGGTGGTGGCCACTGTCATTTTTTGTGGAGGGCCAGAGTGCAGGGTTGAGATGATGGCATGACAACCTGCTACCAGTTAAGGGAAGTGTGGTGATGTCCCTGTTCCAGTGTAAGGAAGTGCAGCCCTGATGAGTGCTGGCTGGCAGGAAGTGTGCAATTGTAGAGGTGTGTGTAGCTGAAGAGAGGTGTTTCACCCTCCTACCCCGATGCCTTATCATGGACTCGGTTTGCACTGGGTGAGCCAGTCTGCGCGACACGTCCACCAGGACAGGACAAGACAGGCTCATTTTGGGTGAAGCGCACAGAAAAGTCTGGGTGCATGGAATGGGGTGTGAGCTTTGTGGCCGGTGCTGTCAATGTAGATGTGGAGGGCTGAGGGCAGGCCGTTCGTTGGTGGTGACAGCTGGCTCGTGGGGCCAAGTCAGGAGGGTGCACAATGGCAGCAGAGGCTCACTGGGACAGGTGTAATCCCACAGACCCTGTCTTTGGGGGAAAGATTGTAGGAGACAGCAGCATCCAAAGGGGTGCTGGATTCCACCAGCTAAGATCCCTTCGCAGCATCTAGGTGGGCAGGAGGGCTTGTGGGTAACACTCCTTGTACCCTCATAACCCTCTTGCACTGCACCTGAGGGTGCAAGGAGGGTTAATGCACCTAGGATCTGGGGCTTCATCCTGGGAGGTGCTCATCTCTGCCAGCCCTCTGAAGTGAGTGGGACCAGCACCCCTCTGGATGGGGCCTCCTCACCCCCAAGGATGCTGCTGGAGCCCAGTGATCCTCGGGGCTCTCCCTCATGGCCTTTGCACACAGGAGGGTGTACAACTCCCTCCGACAGGGACCCCAAGGTGTGGTTTACCCCAAACGAGAACAGCTATGCCTTGAACAATTTGGGGCAGCTGAGCTGTGCTGGCGAGTATGTGCCGTCAGTCCCCCAGATCAGGTGCATTTCCAGCGGGACCCAGACCTTGTGGAACAGGACTGCCACCTGCAAGGGTAAGCACAACCCCACATCACCCTGACCTTGGGGTCCTGAGCTGGCATCAGACAGGGTGACTGTCCAGGAATGGGAGGCCATGATGCCTTGGCTTTCCCCCCTGCCCTGGCAGTGCTGGGGCACCTTTTGTCTCAGCATCTTGCCGTGGGCAGTGGCTGTGTGCTCCTGTGAAAGTATAAAGGCAGGAACCCTTCCTGGCCAGCATCCACATGGAAAGCTGCAGCTGTGAAGCTGGGAGGAGGAGGAATGGCTGGAAGGGTTCATCTTGAGGCTTTGGCACCTTGTTCTGCTTGTTTCCCTGGGAAGCTTCTCTGGGGTTTGGGTGAGCTCTGGCAGGGGAGGCTGTCACTGCTGCACTGCTCACCTGGGCCTGAGGGACGCCAAGAGAAGGGGTTCTCAAGCACCCCACGGGTGGGTGGAACCCAGGGCAGGCTTGGGAGTCCTAGAGATACTCTGTGATGATAAGCCGCCCAACAGTGCCTGGGCACATGGTGGGAGTAGAGGGACTCGTGTGTGTCAGGGTGAGTGATCAGAGTCATGGGGAGGAGAGAGCTGTCCCAAGCCTCCTCTTGATACCTCCCAAAAATATTCCTCACCCAATTTTAGCTCTGACAGAAACATGCCAAAGGCCTGTTTGGTGGGACCCGAGACTCCAGATGTCACCAGCGCGTGGGAATTACAAAAAGAATGAAGAAGTGACGCTGAGCTGCAACAATGGTTTCCAGCCATCCTTCACCCATGTCAAATGTGCAGCGGGAGCACAGCCATTGAATTACTCTGGATCTCTAAACAGAGATGTGTGGCTAGGGAGGAAAAGCAGTGATGACTGGATCTACATTGAGGGGAACATAGTGTGCCTCGGTAAGCAGCGTGTCAGGAGGTGCCTCTTATGGAGCTCTGTGGTCAAATCCTGCCCCATCCATCCATCTCTGAGCTTCTACCATCACCACTGCGGCCAGGGATGCACTTTTGATTCATGATTGGGGCCACTCAGGTCTCCCTCTTTTTGATACCTGAGATCATTCTGCCACTGAAGTTTGGCATATCCTTGTCCATCACCTGTCTGGGCAGGCCCCAGCCCTGGCTGACATTCACCCACAAGGACAGCCCCATCCCAAAAAGTGTTGCTGAGGGGTCATGTTCTGGCAGATGGATGTGACACCTTCCCTCTCCCTTCAGGGACTGGGGGGATTTCTGGGGAGTGCTCATATCCCACCACCCACCCCTGACCCAGCTTGTCACCTCCCATCCCAACTAACAACCACTTTCAACTCTGCCAGAAATGTGCCAAAGGCCCGACTGGGGCCAAGGACTCTGGCTGGTACCAGACAAGGAGAAATACAAGAAGAATGAAGAAGTGATGCTGAGCTGTCCTGAGGGTTTCCAGCCATCCTTCACCCATGTGAAATGTTCAGGAAAAGTCCTGTCCATCAGCAACGAGAGATCTGAATACAGAGAAGTTTGGAATGGAAGGGACAGCAGAGGCATATGGATCGACATTCAGCCCATGTTCAGCGTGGAGTGCATTGGTAAGGGAGGCACCAGGAGCTCTCCTGGCTGCCCTGCTCTACCCTTCCCAAGCAGGGAAAAGCAGACTGTGTGTGCACAGGAGGTTTCAGGCTCTCTGCCTGCCTGGGGAAATGGTAGGTGCTGCTGAAAGCTGTGTTGAGGCAGCCCCTGAACCTGTCCTGTGCTTGCCTCGAGGCTCCAGGGGAGCCTTGGTAGGGTCCGAGCCTCAGTCCTGAGGGTCCTAGCAGGAGGTGGCTGTGGGACCAGAGTGGAGAGCAGTGGCTAGAGCTGCCCATGCCAGGCTGGGGCAAGGAGCCCAGCTTGCAGGGCTCCACACTGCGGTTCACAGGTGGGTGGGAGGCTCCTGGTGGAGGTGCGTGGGTGACATGGGTCTCTGAGAGCTTCTGGCAAGAGCATGTGCAGAGAAGATGGGGGCTACAGTGCTGTAGTGTGACAGGTATTTGTGGCACAGGTGGCTGAAAACATTGCATCAGGGTCTGGGGGATCACAGGACTCTGCTCCCTGTGTCCTCTCAGTCTGTGAAGGCAGGGAAAAGGCCTGGCCTCCTGCGCATGTACTGGTCTCCACTCCCAGTCTCTGCTACATACCATCACTGCAGTGGCCAGCTTTTGGGTTCAGGCTTTATTACCTTCTCAGGAGGACTCAGGGTGTTGTCATCCTCTCTGAGGGACGAACAGGGCACCAGGGGCAAACGCTGGTCCATCAGTTTCTATGCAGGCTTTGTGCATAGTATGAGCCCCTTGTGGGTGCCTCCAATCCCTGGAGCTCCTGCTCCTCCTGGCCTTTCCCCTGGAGGCCTTGGGGAAGCAGTGCAGGGCCCTTCTTGCCCTCATCCCCTTGCAGAGGACATGGAGTGGGAGGGCTGATCTATATGGTGTCCTGGAGCTCTCTCTCGCCCTGCGGTGCCAGGGAAGGGCATCCTGTGCTCCATCCCCTGGCATGCCCTGTGTGGCCACCCTCTGCCCTGCTAATGCCTTCCCCATCTTGTCTAAGCAGAGAAATGCCAGAAGCCCCAGTGGGACCCCAGGTTTATCTTTGACCAAGACCAGGGGTCTTTCAACCCAAATGAAGTGGTGGAGATGAGATGCCCTGAGGGGTACTGGCCTCCCCCCATGGAGATCAAATGTGCGAAGCTGAACCCAAGGGAAGGCTCCACAATTCCCCGCAGTGGCTGGTTTGTGAGGAATGGCACAGGCCTCTGGCACCGTGTGGAGGAGAACATAACCTGTGTGGGTAAGTGTGGGAACCAACCACCCTCCCAGAGCGCTCAGTCTGTTCTCTCCAAGCAGGGAGAGCAGCATTGCGTGTGTTCTACAGGGTTAGTGTCCTGTGCTTGAGGTGGTCAGGGCATGGCGTGGGCATTCACTCCAGAGAATACTGCTGCTGATGCATCCCAGGTTTGTGTCCATGCTGTTGGCAACTGGGGCACCCTATGCAGTGCTGAGAGGGACAAGTCCTTGCTGCTGTGTGTAGGGTACCAGGCAGCACGCCCAGACTAGACAGATGGGTCTCTCTGGACAAGAGCATGATAGCCCAGGAGCAGGAGGGCAGGGCACTGTTCTGGCTGCTGGACTTGTTGGCTAAGTCATTGTCGGTATGAAAGGGACCAGTCACCAGGGCTGGCAGCTGCAGAGAGGCCACAAGTACTTGGTCTTACCCTCCCACAGTCACTGCAGCACACAGAGTACCCGTGGTCAGAGGAAGGTGTAGTCAGTGCCCAAGTGCAGTGTCAGAGAAGGTGGGATGGCTTTGTCTCACTGTGCTGGGGACAGGCTAGTGAGGAGACCGTGGGGATGATGGAGGTTGGCTGCAAGACCGGGAGGGGAAGGGAAAGGAGTGACCCTTCTTCAATATTTCCTTCACAGATGTCCTCCAGGTTGTCTCCGAGACCTTGGAGATTTCCAGCACCGGCATCAAACTGAACTGGACCTGCAGGCTCCCTGGCGCCTGCCAGGAAGTTTGGGCCAGGTGCCGGCTGGAAAAGCATTCCTCCCCTGCCTGTGAGACTCAGGAGGTGAAGGGAGAGGAGATGCTACATGGCTGGGAGGGAACATTTGCCTGTCCCCCTCTGCAGCCCTTCACTGTCTACAGTGTTACCATCTCTCTGCCCCCCAGCACGATTCTGTACACACGGCTCCTCAGGACAAAGGAAACAGGTATGTTTACATGAAACGTAAATATGCCCTTCTCCTGGCAGCTCAGCCCTGGCATTCGCTCCCTGCACTGTTTGTCCTGGGATCAGGGCTGTTTGGAGCCTGTGGGGCTCTGAGGAAGGGGCTGTGCAGAGTCCTGGAGAAGAACATGTCCCTTCCACACAACACTGTTGCTGCTGCTGTTGCAGCACATGTAGCCTTTGTGTGGGACAAATCCTCTCTGTCCTCTTGCGTGATCCCATCCTCCTGTGCTTCCAGTGCCGGACAAACCAGAGAATCTGTGGCTGGATCCTAACACGGGGTCCCTCAAGTGGCAGGCGCTGCCCTCCTGTAAAGGGGAGATCATTGGATACCAGGTACCAGGGCACACAGAATCCCCACAGTCCCCCTCACCCTGCCTGGAGGTCTGTGCAGGCAGCCTGCGGAAAGGTGTGAGCCTTCCTTGACCAGAGCCCACCAGCTCTACACTGCTGGTGTTTCTGGTGGGGTCAGGTCCCCTCCTGTCCCCAGCCAGAAGTAGCAGCCCCTCTCTGCAGAGCTGCACAGTGCTGGAGCAGGAGGTCTGTGCTGCTCCCCACCAGCTCCCTGTCCTTCCTCTAGCTGAACATCACGGCCAGGAGAGCGCAAGATGGCAGGTTCCTTGAATTCAAGCAGGTGTTGGTGAACCAGTCTGTCACTGAGTATACTCCACCTCATCAGACACCTGGAAGCAAATATACGGTGACAGTGCAGGGTCTCACAGTGGCTGGTGCTGGGGATGCGTCACTCCTGGAATTTCAAACCTACGTCTCAGGTAATGGTTGTTTTGCCCTTGGTATGGCAGCGGTGGTCTCCCTTGGAGCAAGCGCTGAGCCTGGAGCAGCTTCCAGAGCTGTGTGTGCACTCACCCCCATCCCACCAAGACAGAGGCAGGGAGTTGTGGGCACCCTGAGAGCCTGAATCAGTGGTAGGCTGAGGGGCTTAGTGAGTCCTGCTTTGAAGGATTCCATTGCCTGATCCCTAGAGCAGCTGTATTTCTTCAGCCCGTGCATGTGAGAGCAGAGCTGGCCCCTCTACTCTTCCCCTAAAGAAGATGATACCCATCCCTGCATATAGGTGCACTTGGGGCTCAAGGTCGGGCAGCATCACGGCTGCTGAGCCTGGGTCTGTGTGTGCTCCAGGCCAGCTGAGTGGGCTTCCAGACCCTTCAGTTGTGTATGGAGGTGAAGCTGGGAAAACTCAGTAACAACTCAGTGTTATTAAGCAGGTATTCTTTATTGCAGCGCCGGGCAGCACGGAGGATAGCTCCTTCCACATGTACACGCCCAAGTGTTAGGACTCCTGCCTTATACTTACAGCTTTCATGTTTATTCATTACATTTCTAAGAAAAGGTTGGGTTATTCTAATTATTTCCAGGAATTCATTAACATAAGTTCCTCCCATAGGCCCGCCTCAGTCCACCCAAGGTACGCCCCCCGTTGGGGTCCTTGGTGGTCATTGGGGATGAAGGTCCGAGTCTTCCTCATGGCTGAACTTTTGAACATGCCCTGTGGTGCATGCCCTGTACCATCCTGGATCTTTTCCAAACTGCAGGACCAGCCCTTGCTAGCTGCCCTCCCTATCTCTCCTGCTCAGTCCTTTGTGTTCCTTGAGCCCCACAGTCTGATTGGAGGATTCCACCTGGTGTCCTTCGTTTGGCGGATTCTGCTTCATTCTTATCATTAAAGTGTTTGTTAGTTAGTCTGCAATGGATATATGCATAACGGTTAGTACAAATCAACCTCCCTCGTTATCTCTAAAGGCTGGTCAGCAGCACTTTTCTAAAAGCCAGTTTTCTAAAAGCCAGTTTTCTAAAAGCTAGTTAGTAATTCTTTATTATAGAGGATGGGGCAAGTCTCTGTGCTCCAGAGCCTCCCTCTGCCCTGGCCTGCCCAGCAAACATGAAGGCAGGGGAAGACTGTGCTTCACTGGCTGTTCCTGCAGCAGCCAGGACAACAGAGCCTGGACACACATGTCCGCACACATGCATATGCCCAACGCCAAGGTTAGGGCCATTGCTGGCGCATGGTCCAGGCTGTGGCACCCACTCCTGGCTGTGTGTTAGTTGCAGGGCAGCCTCTGGGCATGTGGTCGGGGTTGACGGTCACGGTAGTGGTGGTGGTGCTGGTGCTGGTCCTCCTGTCTGCAGGCATCCTGTGGTTTGTGCTGTCCAGGTGAGTAGGCAGGAGACTTGGAGTCACTGCTCTGCCTCACCCATGCTGTGCTGTGGGGTGGCTGGGGATGGAGAGGGGGTTCTCCCAGCTGCTCCCACCCATCTCTAGGTGCGAATGATGCAGCTGGCTGGTCCTACCATAGCTTGGCTGTAGGCTTCCTGGCTGGGGCAGGGACTGTGTGTGCTAAGGGACCCCCTCCCTTGTTGCTGTTGCTGCCACTGCTGCTGTCCCCTGGGGTGTTGATGGGCAATTCCTGCCAGCCTGTGAGAGGCCCAGAGGGAGGGGGTGCAGAGCCCTCCATGCCTCTGCTTCTGGCTTCAGGAATGTTTTCACGTCAACCTCTCCCCCAACTCAGGACTGCCCTTTGCCTTCCCAGGAAAAGGAAGGCTTTGCCCAGCAAAGCTGAGGAGGATCGTTACACAGGTAGGGTTTCCATCACAGGGAAATCAGCAGGGCTGGGCTTGGAGCTGGGAGGGGAGCAGGTCTATTGCAGGAGAGCCTGTTGTCATCCTGTGGTGGCTGCAGGCAGCCCAGCTGGCTCTGTCTGACCTGCCAGAGCAGTGTGTCCCATACCTGCTATCCCCAGCCAAAAGCCTCCACTAGCTCCCTCTTCCAGCAGCTTCTCCTGAGGTCCCCCCATGGTGCCAGTAAGGTTTGGGAGCTGCCCCTTGTGCTTGCCCTGGCCAGGGGAGGCAGCGCTTCTGCCCAGCCCTGCTGCCTGGCTGGTACATGTCCCAGGGCGCCCTGCAGCCCCCAGGGCTGCTGCTGCCTAGGTCTGCCCTACTCCTTCTTCCGTGGCCGCTGGGTCTCTCAGGCTGTTTCTGTCATCCCAGAACTGCGGCCCTATGAGAACTTGGATGATTACTGTGTGATCAAGGAGACTCTTCAGGCAGAGGAAGATGCAGGTAGGATATTGAGTGCCCTGCCTGTGTTCACTGACATGGCAGAGAGGGGGGTGGAGAGTGGCAGGGGGGGTGGCGTGAGGTCCCACACTGCTGAGGGCACACAGCAGCCTCTGCCATGGGTGTCCTTTGTCTCCACAGGTAAAGGTGGCCGGGCTGCAAAGCTGTTGCCCCAGCCCTTGCCTGTCCTGGAGTCCTCAGGAGACAGTCGGAGCAGCGAGAAAGAGAAGATGGGGCGGACGTTCAAGGCTCAGCGCTGATGGCACTTCTCCATAATCCCTTCTCAAGTCTTGATTTTCCTTGGCTGGAAACAGGAATTCATAGAACTTGTGCTGGATTATTACTCCTCCTCAAATTCCCTCCCTTATCAAGCTCCAGCATCTTCTGTCACAGAGCAGAAGCAGTCCAAGGCCTGGGACAATCTGCTTGTGCCAGCAAGGACATGTTCTTGTACTCCTCCTGTGCTCTGGCAAACTTGTCTCACCCTCATCCTGGGTGTCCTCTGAGACCAAATCAGATTGCTAGGTCCCAACCCCTCTTGCCCTGCTCAATATTCCCATATCCATCTAGACCCCAGCCTCTGCTTGAGTTTGGCCCAACTGTGCTGCCCTCACAGCTGTGCTGCTGTGTCTGAACAACCAATAAATTGTTTTGATTTGCAGGGGCTGCCTGCCCCATGACAGCTCCCACCTTGTCATGGTTCCTCCCTGGTTTGTGTGTGAATCTTCGTGGAGAAGCTTCGACTATGGTTTTCTGGTCCCTGGCAGCCCTGAGGAAGCACATCTGAGAAACTGCATGCTCCCAGAACAATGCTTCAGTTTCCCACTTTCCTTCCTCCCCATCCTACAAGTAGCACAGCCTCAACTGGGCCTAGCTGGACCTGTATGTTTGTGACCCACTCTATGGGTGTTGGTACTTGTCTACCATTCTGTGAGGTGCAGTTGACCCTGATCCTCTTGGGAAATCCCCATTCTGCAGCCTTAGGGATCTGCTCAGTCTCGGCTGCTGTTTCTGCCCCGATGCAGCCTCCATCAGTCAGTGCCTCTCCTGCGCTGTGGGATGCTGGTGCCCAGTGCAGCCTGGAGATTGATGGACATCCTGAAGGCTCTCCTTGGTGAGGAGCCCACTGCTAGAAGATAGGGCAATTGACCACTCTCTTCTCCAGCCTTTTTTTTTTAGCCTGGGACAACCTGCATGTGCCAGTAAAGACATGTTTTGACAGACCTTCATATGAGCTGTCTGATCGTCAACGTGGTATCTGCAACTGGCCCCTGGGACCAAAGAGTCTCCTTCACATGGACTTTCATTGGTGTGACCTGCATGCCTGATGGAGCTCGTCTGGATGGGTATTGGGCAGAAAGGGGAAGAGGGAGCTTAGCCCTGTGTGGCTGCTGCTGGCTGAGAAAGGGGAATGGGGAAACAGAGTGTTGGTTTGTGTTCCTGCCACCTCTTGGTTTGCCATGCTTCCTGCTCCATGTCCTCATATACAGTCAGACCCTGGGCTGTCAGCCTCATGACTCTGCCTGCTCTGTCTGGACAACCAATAAAGGCTCGTAGTTCGGAGGGGGCTGCCTGCACCTCCCCAGCTCCTGCCTGATCTCCTCATTGCCTTTGTGGGGTTATGTTCCCTGTGGCGTGCTGAGCTAACTGCACCTTATTGAGGGGAGGCCATGAGCAGGGTTGCTGTGCCCTGGAGCTGTGTCTGACAGCTTCCCCAGGCCTTGAGGGCTGTGCTGGGCAGCTCTGACCTGCATTTGGATGGGAAATGTGTTGGGAACCAGTGAGTGGTGGTGCTCCTACAAATTTGTCCTGGGCAGGTGTGTGTCCTGCACACGTGCCGTGGGCAAAGCTGAGGGATAAGGATGGTCTTTGCTCCTCTGCAGCCCCCATGTCTGATCATGCAGCCCTCTGAGACCTGAGACATCCCAGCTGGGCCCATGGGAGTTTCTGGAGAAAGAGAAAAGCAGGAGCTGCTGAGGAACAAGGGAGATAGTTTCCTCAGACATGCAGCTGGCACTGAAGGGCAGGGCGATCTGCACACTTGGGAACAGAGCAAAGTATTGCCAGGCTGAGGGGGAGGAGGAGGAAGAGGCAGCTGGGGAAGGAGGAGCAGGGAAGGATAAGAAAGGATGTGTGTTCAGTGTGTCTTTCAAAAGGGCCGAGAACTGTTTCAAGTCTTGAGTTACTCCTTCTAGTTTCTGCCCCTCTTCCTATTCCTGCTTCTTGCCAGCTCTTTATGTGCTTTTTCAGAGGTCCTCCATCTCTTGTTATCATTGAGGGGAAGTGCAGTGACTCATCACAACTCTAAAACCCGTGCAGTAGCATTGAGAAACATATGGGTATTGCCCCAGAAATAGGAGCAGTGTTTCTCAAATGCACACTGGTAACTAGGAGGGTTTTGGGTGAAAGCCCTGGGATCTCGGTGACAAGGTTTCTTCTGTTGAGTACAGAGCCTGGATGCCCCTGGGGAAAAAAGTCAGCAAAAGGCAGCAGCACTGACACTGATGGGAGGTTCCCTCCTGAAAGAGGAAGCCTCCTGTATCTCACGAGATTTCCCCATGCGTTTGTTTGCTTCCTGTGGTTGCAAGTCTTGCAGTCAGTTTACAGATGTCTGGGCTCAGAGGCAGCGAGTGGGGCTGAGATTTCAGTTCTGCCTGGGGACTTCATGCTAGCATGGCACTGCAGTTGCTGGCTCCGAGGTTTCTCCTGCTCCTTGTATCTTTGCTGGCAGCACAGGGCCAGAAAGATCCTGATCTCAAGGTCCAAGGAGTGCCCTGGGAAACAGGTAAGAAGCAGTTCCTCCTTTTCTCTGGAGAGATGTTGCTGCTTCTCCTACTGCAAGTTTGATATGCATCTTTACTGCCTACAGCCCTGGGCTGAAGCCCAGGTAGACCCCTGAGGGCTGTGTTATCTGGGGCATCTGCTGTCTCTAGGAGACCCCGGGAGTGGGAGCAGGGAAGAAGGTGGAGTGAGGGTGCACTGGAGGTACTGTGGGAAGGACAGGATTGGGCTGGACAGTTGGGGATGGGTCATGTTCTGCACCGAGCCAGTTTGCCAATCATTCCCTGGAGGTTGCAGGCAGCAATCAGGCACGAACTCATTCATCATGATTTGGGGGAAGGCTCTAGGCTACCACTTTCTGTACACATCTTATCCCCAGGTGTGTCTGAGGGACACTATGCCTGCTGAGAGCAAAGCAAAAGGGAACTCGCCACCATTTTGCCAGCTGGATGGGCCTGGGTGTGGGGAGCAGCTGGGTGCCTGTGCGTGGGATAATTTGCGGCTGTTTGTCAGTGGGACACAGCTACCTGTTGTGGTGCTCAGCTGGGCATCTCTTCCCTTCTGCAATCAGGGTTGTTGGAGAGCAAATCCTGGCCGTAAGTGGCTCGTTCACCAGCATGTCTGTACTTCTTCATGGGTGTTCAGAAGATGGTCTGAACCTTGTAAGTTTAGTTCTCTGACCCTTTGGGAGAAGGAAGATTGTATTTTAAGCACTTTGAGGGCTCCCAGAGCCCCTTGCAGAGGCTGGAACAGGGGAGAGCTCCTTCCCAGGTGCCACCATCCCTGCAGGTAGGAATCATTGCCACAAAGCCTCCCTCTGCAGCGCCCAGCAAACTGCTGGGACAGGCTGTGACTTCTCAGCCCAGAGGGTGGTGAATGTGGTGAGGAGGGGACGTGGAGGAGGGAGCAGGGTTTTTGGCAGGGAAAAGGGGGTAGGGGCTGTGGTAAAGCAGGGCATGTCAATGGAGAAGGCATTGCTCATCCCCATGTCCCACTGCACCATCAGGTGGGGCAGGAGGAGAGTACCTGAGGGACTGACTGAGCCAGCACAGGAACCCCAGAAGTGTAACAGGGGCACTTCTGTGTCAGGGATGAGCCATGGCTGGAGGGACATTCATCCCCGCAAGGCTGGTAATGCCATGGCCCATCAAGGGCAGCTTGAGCTGAATGAGTGGCTGGAGGAGGTCTCCTGCTGCAGGGATCATTGTCCTGAGAAGTTCTGTGCTGTGGGATGTGGAGGAGGGAATATGGTGTCCCTGGACACAGGGGTGGATGAGGGAGGCTCACGTATGAGTGATCATTCACGCTTCAGGTGCACAAGGAGAGTCCCCTCCCAACAAGCCTTGCCTATGGGTAATGTCCTGGCAGATGGACATGTCACCTTCCCTCTCCCTTCAGTGGCTGGATGGATTGCTGTGGATTTCTCTCCTACCACGCACCCATACCCCACCTCCTCACCTCCCAGCCCAACTAACACCCATTTTCACCTCTGCCAGAAACATGCCAAAGGCCCCGGTGGGACTCAAGACTCCAGCTGGCACCAGACCAAGACGATTATGAGAAGGATAAAGAAGTGATGCTGAGTTGCAGCGATGGTTTCCAACCATCCTTCACCCACGTCAAATGTGCGAGGGAAGTCCAGTCCATCAGTCATGGGAAACCTGTATACAGAGAAGTTTGGCTTGGAAAGGAGAGCAGAGGTCACTGGATTCGCATTCGATCCAGTGTGGAGTGCATCGGTAAGGGAGGCACCAGGAGCTCTCCTGGCTGCCCTGCTTTGCCCTTCCTAAGCAAGGGAAGGCAGACTGTGTATGCACAGGAAATTTCAGGATCTCTGCTTGTCTGGGGGAATGGTAGGTGCTGCTGAAGGCTGTGTCAAGGCAGCTGCTGAGCCTGCTCTGTGTCCAGCATGCAGTTCACCAGTGGGTGGGAGATTCTTGCTGAAGGTGTGGGCGAACAGGGTTTCCTTGAAGGCTTCTGGCAAGACTATGTGCACAAAGGAGAGAAGCGGGGGAGAGGTATGTGTGGTGGAGTTCGTGGTCTCCAGGGCGTCATGGTTGGGGCAGGTGAATCAGAGGGCTCTGCTGCCTGTGTCCTCCCAGACCCTGCAGCTGTGAGTACCACAGCTTGCTCCCCGTAGGCTAGTCCCCTCCAGGCACTGTGTCATGGTGGGCACAGGCTTGTCACCATCTTGTCACAGCTTGGGGCACAAAGGTTCCCTCCAAGGGAGAACAGGGCAATAGTGGGTGGATTTGGGAACCTGGTGAGAGGTTTCAGAAGTTTTGAAAACAGTAGTCCTCTGCTGCTCCCCAGCTCACTGAGTACCCTGAGACCTGGGCCACAGCAAGAGGGCTCTGGGCTGGTTCCCTGCAGGCAGCTGTGAGCGTGGGTAGTGTGGGGAGGTCTGTGGGAGAAGAAGTGAACGCTTCTCCTTTGACCCACCCCCAGGGACAGTTCCCTGCATGGCCCACAGTTTCAG